AAAAAAAGATTTGGGGGGATTATAACTCTATTTAGATATTTCTGCCTACATCTATATCATATAAAAAAAAAGTAAAATCTGTTGACTCTCACAACTTACTAGCCAAATCTTAGATGCTGGTTGAAAATGAAGATACCTGGGTTAGTTCCCAAAAACTATGATTAATTTGGTTGGGAGTAAGAGCTAGAAATCTATTCTTCATAAACTCTAGTGAATCTGGTATTAGTTGGTGTGGGAAACAGGCTTAGAGAATATCGATCTATTGTAAAAAGAGCACTTTTCTTTGGACACCTGGAAAAAAGAGCATGCATTAAATGCACTCAAACTCTATCAAGAATACTTCCATAAAATAGTTCCAAAAATATATTGATATAGCATATACAATTTTGATAACTTCCAGGGTAATGCAGATAATGTTTTTAAATGAGTTCATTTGTTTTGGCTTTTCCTTCTCCCCATTTTTCACTGTATATTGTGGATCTCCCACCTTTTAAAAAATAGATGACACTTCCACTTCCCACTCCCACTAATATACTCACAGCTCCTCTTTAGTGAAAATTCTATTGAATGTTCTTGTGCTCCAACAGAAAGGAAAAACACAGTGGCACTATTAACCATACCACTGTTAATTAGCCGCATTATGTGGTCTAACATTTTTCTTTATCATTCTGAAACTGGGTTTATCTGATACGTTGACACATTCATACAATTTGAAAGAGTCAGTTGAAGTCACAAGGACCCAATATTAGCACTTTTTCAGTGAATGCAGGCAAATCAGTTATTCCATCGTAAAATTGTATTTTGCTTTTCTGTTAATATCATATTTATAAAAGTATCATGAGGATGCCAAATGCTGAAAATGGAGATGGTCTAGTAACTAGAAATCCCCACCCCAGGGAGCACATGTACGTATCTCCCTACATCCTAATACTGTGATGTGTTTTGAACACTGACATTAGAACTTCATGAAGTTTTAACTGTTGATTCTTTCCCAAGCACCATCAAGTTATGATTTAGGCAATATATGACTGAAATTAATTCATTCATCATGCATAGGCACAATCACATAAATATTGCACAAAATATGCCCCTAACTGAAACCGAGAGGTACAAAAACATAATTTCACTCTTCGTAAAGAAGTTTGTGAGGAAATATACCTGTGATTGTATAGACACGTTTCCTGATAATACACTGACATTCACAAACAGTAGATTGCACTGCAGTTTGTAAACATTTTAAGTTGCATAAACTTCCCCTTGATTTTCAAAGACAGTATGATACTGTCTCCTAAAACTCCTTTTGTTTCAACTAAGTACTCTCACATATATTTTATAATAATGTTATTTTTTTAAAAGTGTTTTCCATTCAAGGAAAAGAAGTAAATTCCAATGTCAGAGTAACCAAGGTGTTTGAAGAATAGGTATTAGCCAGAGAGGTCTAGATGGTAAAATCAATCTTCAAGCCTCAAAGAAGCTCCGTGAACAGAGAGGAATGCCAGGTGTCACACGGCTTTCCTTCACTCTAACTTATTCTTGACTACAGTCTGTATACATGTTCCTGGGACATTTAAACTCGTAAAGGATTTCTTATTATCTTTGCTAAATACATTAAGAAGAATGCCAGCCAGCACCCTTTTGTGTACTGGGACATGTAGTCATGTGATTAAAACAGGTAACATGAACTCTGACTTTAAAATATATTATAGATACAAATGCTCTAAGCTAGGAAAGGTTTTCCACATCCAGTCAATGATGCAAACCTTTCATTCCTCAGAAATAATACCTTTTTAGGTCATCGAAAAAGAATACAACTGCTGCAGCAACTGATGCAATATCTTCATGAGCCCAGAGCACACACGAATCCTAAGGGAACTGCCATAGTACAGCGCTCATTCCTGGCACTGGAACAAAGGAAACACAATCTATCCTGCACATACCTGCCGGAGCAGGCCACTGTCCTCTTTGGTAAGATTTAAAAAGCTCCCCCAAAATGTTATTACTCCCATCACCAGTACACAGAGAATGGGGGAAAGGCTGTTTCCAGTTCTTGACCTTTAAACAACTCTAATGTCAGTACTCATAGTGGCATATTACAAAGTAATCAACAGTGCACACTTGGAGGTAAACCACATATTGAGCGAATGAAGACCTTGCTGTCATTAAGATTAGATCAAACAATAGCACAATATAAGGAAATTTTATCTGAATTCTGTAATGAACATACATGCTGTAATAACATTTAAAAAGCATGGCAGCCTATGCCAAACCAGTGAGAATAGTTCTATGCAAACAGTGGGTCTTCATGTGTTTGAACTCCCACCATGTAAGGCCAACTCGATATGCATGCTAATGACCTATAATTATGAAATTAAAAAAGAAAAATGCTAAAGGATGCTAGAATGAACATCAGTGAAAGCCACAGAGACCCACTCTCTTTTAACTTCTTACAAATATAAATTAGAAACACAAATCATCATGAGTAGCTCTAACATGCAAATGAAGTAAATGAATTGTGTAGGAGATTAACCCCACAAGTTTGTGTCTTTTTAAAAAATTTCTTGACCAGCTCTTTGATGATGGTGATGTTTATCTCCTTCTTCTCTGCAGCCAAGCCCAGCAAAAGAATGGCACAGAGCGGTTGCTGCCCAAGCCTGGGTGCTCCTGGTACTCCTGCACGATGGGCTGTGCAGAATGGTTGTCGTGGGGAGAACCCTCCTTGGCCTCTCCTTGTGTAGGCTCCACGCTGTCGGTGAGGCTCATCTCACAAAGATCTTTGGAGAGTTGGAGGTGGGGATCTGAGTGCAGCGCCAGCACCCCCTCTCCTGCCTGCCCGCCCCGCCTGAGGGCTCTACTCACCACCATGCTTGTCGGCAGCCCCAAGCTCCTGGGGGGCTGGGGTTCCTGGACCGGGCTCATCAGCAGGGTTCTGGGCAGTGGCCAGGAATTTGTGGTGCCCCTTGTTATAGTCGCCACAAGCTGCAACAGCATCTCCTGCAGTGCCAGCAGCTTCACCTGGACGGAGGGGTGCTCAGCTGTCACGCCGCTGCCGGCACCCACCCTCACGCCCACGCCCACGCCCACCCCCACAGAGATGTTGCACACCCTACCTTCATCTCCTCCCTGTCCTGGGCCAGCCTGATGATGTCCTCCTCCCATTGCCGCATCTTTGGCACTGGCCCCTGCCTCTGTTACAAGGTGATGAACTTTCCTGCGGGAGGACAGGGCTCAGACGCTGGGGCCCCTCCGAGGGCCCTGCAGCTCCCCCTGCCGTGCCCTGGCCTCCCACTCACTGACGGCATCTCTCTCTCCAGTACTGGATGAATCAAAGTTCTTGTTTCTCCACCTGCTCCCTCAGGTCCGCCTTCTCCTCCAGGTGGTCCATATGGCCACTCTGGAGCCAAAATAATGGGGTCACATCTCGACAGCGACCTGCCCTCAGGTGGCACTTTCAAGTCACGGAGAAGCTGGAGGTGAGTCCTGGTATAGGACAGCTTCTCCATGACTTCCTGCAGGATCCAGTGGGTCTCCCCACTCACAGACTCATCCCCCGTCCCTGGGGCTGGGACCGCTGCCTCTGGCTCCTGGGCCGAGGCCACCGGGTGAGCCACGCGCTGGCAGCACACCCTCTGCTCTTTCACCTGCTCTGATAACCGTGCCTGTTCCTCCTGGGCACTGGCTCCAGCGGATTTGAAAAATGGCACCTGAGGGCAAGACCTGAGCATTCTTGTAGGGGCATACACAGAACAAATGGGGCAGAGGGGTGGAGCGCAGCCCCTTCCCTTAGGGCCTCAGAGTGTGCATCTGTTGGTCACAGGTGAAATGGGGTCTGACCACTGGCTCCAGGAAGGGGTGAGGGTGCAGAGAAATCAGAAGGCAGGGAGAAACTAAGAGCATAAGGGTCCTGCAGGGACCACGGAGGAAAGGTAGTGGAAATGGGTGCAGGGAGTCAGGCTCACCGCCAGCCTCCACATCTCCCAGTCCTCTGGGAGGCGCTCGGCATGGGCAGGGACCCTCCTCCTCCTCGTTGTGTCCAGATGTCCTCCTCCCATCTCCTGTGGGAGTGGCCAGAGGCGCTCAGACAACAAGGTACTGTGGGCCCAGCTCTGCCTCCACCCTCACTGGGTAACCTGAGCCAGCCCTCCCAGAGAATGAGCTGCTGTTCTTTATTTTACTTTTAAGAACCAAGATCTTTGTCTGCCCAGGCACAGTCCCACTACCGGTCAGTGCTGGAGTTCTGACCTGCTCCTTTCTGACCTGGGCCAGTTCCAGCCGTATGTAGGCAACAGTGGCCCCCACCCCCCGCTTCAGGAGGTCACCATATTGATGCCAAACTTAGTGCAGGCACACCGGTCGACATAATGACCAGCTGTTCTGAGTCTCTTCCAACTCCTCAATTCTGTGCTGCTAACAGTCCCCCTTCCTCCTGGGGCTCTCTCTTCTTACTCTAAGCACGTCAAACTAAGAGCATAAAGGGGTCCTGCAGGGACCACAGAGGAAGGTGGTAAAATGGGTGCAGGGGGAGTCAGGCTCACCATGGCCTCCCAGCTCTCCAGGTCCTCTGGGACGCTCGGCATGGGCCGAGGACCCTCCTCCTCCTCACTGTCCAGATGTCCTCCTCCATCTCCTGTGGGGAGTGGCCAGAGGGCTCCTCAGACAACCCAACAAGGCAGGTACTGTGGGCCCAACTCTGCCTCCACCCTCACTGGGTAACCCTGAGCCAGCCCCTCCCAGAGAGGAATGAGCTGCTGTTCTTTATTTTTACTTTTAAGAACCAAGATCTTGCTATACTGCCCAGGCACAGTCCCACTACCGGTCAGTGCTGGAGTTCTGACCTGCTCCCTTTCTGACCTGGGCCAGTTCAGCCATCCTTAGGCAACTTGGTGGTCTCCCCTACCTTCCCCAGGGAGAGCCATGAGGGCTCAACTGGTCCTGCAACTGCTGCTTCTGCTGCCTGGCAGCTTCCCAGGCGCTCCTAAGGGGCCAGGAAAGAGTGAGAAGGCGCGCGGAGTTTGCCAGGTCGTCCCCCTCCTTGGCCCCGTCCTCAGCCACTCCCTCCCCTGGGTCTCCGCAACTTTGTGGGTCATCTTGGTCACCACTTTGCCCCAAGCTTCCTGCTGCTGCAGCTGGTTCATTAGCTGGGTCTGCCAGGAACTGCCTGTGCAGCGCCCTCCTTCTCAGAGGTCAGCTGCTGATGGTAACCACCTGCTGCTGATAGGTGGCCACGGACTGCTGCAGGTGACCCAGGTAATGGTCTGGCTGCTGCTGCAGGGCTCTGAGCCTCTTGGCTCTTCAAGCTCCCACCCTGCAGGAAGACCCTGGGGCGTGGCCCGGCTGTAGCGGGAGCTGGCTTCAGATCGGGGCCCATTAATGGGGTGCTTAAAGGAGCACTGTGTGGGGCTCTGTCGTCTTCCCAGGACCCGGGCCCCTTGCTCCAGGTCTCAGTGACTGCACTCTCCTTTCCTAGAACCCCATACCTTTTTCCCCATCCTCAAATGGCATACCCTTTTCTCACCATTTAAACTGTAGGCCACAGACTGATGGAAAAGCAGTGGGAGCCAACCACTATCTGCTAAGTGTGCTACAGGCCTAATGCTTTCCATGTATTATCTCATTTAATCCTCAGCACCTCTGTAAGAAAATGCGCTTCCTTTTGAAATTAAAAGAAACAGAGACTTAGAGATGCAAAGTACTTGAATGGTGACCAGTGGAACCGAGGCTGGAAACCAGTTTTAATCTAAGGAGCCTTTTTGTTTTGTTTTGAGACAGAGTGTCACTCTGTGGCCCAGGCTGGAGTGCAGTGGTGCAATCTCAGCTCACTGCAACCTCCACCTCCTGGGTTCAAGTGATTCTCATGCCTCAGCCTCCTGAATAAGTGGGATTACAGCCATGCACCACCATGCCTGGCTAATTTTTTTCTTTTTTTTTTTTTTTTTGGTCATTTTTAGTAGAGATGAGGTTTTTACAATGTTGTGGCTGATCTCAAACTCCCGACCTCAAGTGATTCTCCTGCCTGAGCCTCCCAAAGTGCTGGGATTATAGGCGTGAGCCACCACGCCTGGTGTAAGGAGCCTCTTATCCCACTGTCTCTTCCCCTATGATTGGGGGGCTCCATGCCTCTAGCTGGGATGATGATGTCAGGCCTGGGAGGAGCCCAGGGCTACACACCTCTAAAGTCACGGGACAGGAAGCAAAAACAGTCACGGGACTGTCTGGAAGTGCTGAGGTCACCTCCCCCAGGCTGGAGCTGCCTCTGGCCCGCAAGCACCCCTCCCTAGAGGCTGGTGCCCGCCTCCCAGCCCTTCTTGGATGGGGCAGAGGTTACCGTCTCCTTCACCTCCTCCAGCTTCTCCTGTAGCTCCTCTACTTGCTGCTCCAACTGCAGTGCGCCCTTGTTCGTTGTTCTGGACAGAGAGAAGCAATCAGCAACCACCTGCAGCTGGAACCCCCCAGAGACTTGGTGTCTGCCTCCCGGCACGAGGAAGGGGGTGGAGGCAGGTTAGAAAAATCATCCCCTCTGTCCCACAGCCACCAGAGCAGGGCTCTGGCTCACAGGTGCCTTTAGAAGTAACATTTCACATGAGGGCTACACTGCCCCATTTTTACAGGTGGGGAAACAAAGGCCTGGAGGGCCAGGGGAGGAGGACAGACTACCCAGGGGGGCAACGCACCCAGCTCCTCAAAGCCGCTCTGTGGCGCAAGCCCAGCTGCTGAAGCTTCTCCTCCTGCTCCCGAAGCCTCTCCTCCTGCTTCAGCTGCTTCTCCTGCTTCGAGCTTCTCTCCTGCTTCAGAAGCTTCTCTTCCTGCACCCGAAGCTTCTCCTGCTCCCGAAGCCTCTCCTCCTGCTTCCGAAGCTTCTTCTCCTGCTTCCAAAGCTTCTCCTCCTGCTCCCGAAGCTTCTCCTCCTGCTTCCAAAGCTTCTCCTCCTGCTTCTGAAGCTTCTTCTCCTGCTTCAAAGCTGCTTCTCCTGCTTCAAAGCTTCTCTTCCTGCACCCGAAGCCTCTCCTCCTGCTTCCGAAGCTTCTCCTCCTGCTTCCAAAGCTTCTCTTCCTGCACCTGAAGCTTCTCTTCCTGCTCCCGAAGCCTCTACTCCTGCTTCCAAAGCTTCTCTTCCTGCTTCAGCTTCTCCTCCTGCAAGCTTCTCTTCCTGCACCCGGCTTCTCCTGCTCCCAACCTCTCCTCCTGCTTCAGCTTCTCCTCCTGCACCGAAGCTTCTCTCTCTTCCCGAGCTGCTTCTCCTGCTTCGAGCTGCTTCTCCTCCTTCCCGAAGCTGCTTCTCCTGCTTCGAAGCTTCTCCTCCTGCACCACGAAGCTTCTCTTCCTGCCAAGCTTCTCCTGCTCAAGCCTCTCCTCCTGCTTCGAAGCTTCTTCTCCTGCTTCAGCTTCTCCTCCTGCTCCCAGAAGCTTCTCCTCCTGCTTCCAAAAGCTTCTCCTCCTGCTTCTGAAGCTTCTTCTCCTCTTCCAAAAGCTTCTTCTCCTGCTTCCAAAGCTTCTCTTCCTGCACCCGAAGCCTCTCCTCCTGCTTCCGAAGCTTCTTCCTGCTTCAAGAAGCTTCTCCTCCTGCACCGAGCTTCTCTTCCTGCACCGAAGCTTCTCCTGCTCCCAAAGCCTCTCCTCCTCCTTCCGAAGCTTCTTCTCCCTGCACCCAAGAAGCTTCTCCTCCTGCTTCGAAGCTTCTCCTCCTGCTCCCAAAGCTTCTCCTCCTCCCAAAGCTGCTTCTCCTGCTTCCTGAAGCTTCTCCTCCTGCTTCGAGCTTCTCTTCCCTACCAAGCTTTTCCTCTGCTTGACTTCTCTTCCTGCTTCCGAAGCTTCTCCTCCTGCTCGCGAAGCTTCTCCTCCTGCTCCCGAAGCTTCTCTTCCTGCTTCTGAAGCTCCTCCTCCTGCTTTCAAAGCTTCTTTCCACCTCCCAAGCCTCTCCTTTTGCCTCCGGTTCAGAGACCACCGTATGATTGTTCTCTACCTGGACCTGGAGCTCTCCTGCTGCTCTCTCTGTAGTTCCTTCCCTCAGGTGCTGCAGCTCCACCTCAGGGGAGCACTGCTGGGGAGCTCCGGGGACAGGGTTCAGCTGAGAAGGAAGCGGTCAGCCAAAAAGGGCCTCCTGGATTCTCCCAAAACCAAAAAGCAACAACAGAAACCCCTCCTCTTGGTGCACAGCTCCTCTCAGGCTCCCCAAACTTGGCCGCACTGCTAATGATTCCTCGCACCCGGATGGTAGCCAATCTTCCAACCACTTTCAGATACAGAGCACTGTGGGTGGCTGACAATGGGCCCCCTTTGCTGATGGGGACACTGAGGCTCATGGAGATGACAAGACTTGCCATCTCCTGGCACAAACCTCTTTCCCTCTGCCTCAAAGCCCTTCCATCCACCCACCTCCCTGGAGCATTCTAAGCCCCCACAGCCCTCGTGCCAGGCCTGCTCCCAGGTCATGCCAGCCCCATCTTACCCATCTGGTTTTTGAGTTTGGACAAGCTCCTCTCCAGGTTCTCTACCTGATGCGTATCAGTAAGCTAGCCTTCTCCTTCTTCCAAAGGTGCAAACCTACCCAAAGCACAGGGGAAAGGGCCTGGAGAGAGGGGCTGGTGGCTGGTGGCTGCCATCTCCTCTGCCCCCACCTCCCACAAAGCTAGACCCACTGACCACACTCTGGCTGTACTGTTCCCATTTTACAGATGCCCAGAAAGATTCCGTGACCCATCTAAGGTCAGGGGGCTGAAGGGTCAGATCACCTCCTGAGACATTTTCCTCATCCTCTGCTGCCACGGACTCTTTTTGTATGTTGGCTTATATTCATCTCTCTCTAGATGGGCTTTGTTTTAGAGACTCCTTCAACTGCAGAATGGGCACAGAGAAGTTAGGAAGGAGCTGTCACTGGTCCTCTGCTCCTGGCCACTTGGATCCATCTTCCTTCCACATCCCTCCCTCTGCAAAACCTCACCCGTGTCAGGCGTGCTTTCAGCCGTGCCTTCTCCTGTATGGACCGCTCTAACTGCCCGTCAATAAGTGCTTGTGCGGCTTGAGAACTCGGATGATGAAAGTGAGAAGTTTCCAGTTAAGGAGCAGACACATTCCACATGAGTGCCCTTAAAGGAGCTGAGCTGAGCTCAATATACAACTCAGTCAATGAAAGTCAACGCACTTCCAAGCCCATGGTCTGGTTTTTAACAGAACTCAGTAAAGTTGGAAGGGACAGGGAAAGAGATGGAATTTACAGCTGCCTAACAGAGGCCCAGAGATCAGATGTTGCTCTTGTTATTACTGTTATTACTACCACTGTCTGAACCTTTATGGAGTGTTTACCAGGCACCATGCTAGCAATCCCTTCAATCCTCCCACAACCACCATAGAAGGTGAGTTCTATGACGACCTCTATTGTGTAGATGAAAAAACATGGAGTATTTGAGGTTAAATGTTTGCTAATAACATCCACTTAGAGCAGAGCTGGGGTTTGAACACCTTGAGTCTATCTGATTCTCTAAGCCCATTTTTGCTGGGGTTGGGGTACCCAGATAGGAAGGGAAAATTAATCTTTCGTTCAGTTTTTGAAACAATGATACCTTTGCATAGTCAAACTCAGAAGGTACAGAAGGAAATTATCTCCCAACCCCACCCTGTTGCTCTCTCCCAAGTTTTTACTTGAGCGGTTTGCAGACATGTTTTATGTATACTATCATAATATGTGTGCGCGCACACACACCACACATACATTTCCTCTCTCTACAGAAAATGGTATCATACTAAGGTAATCTTCTGTACCTTCTGGAGACAAGTACCCAATACCCCACTAGGACTTGGCCAAGACCACACAGCCAGGTAAGGGCAGGGCAGGCTTGGCCTCCAGCTCTGCATCAGTGCTCACCCCCACTGTGCCCCAAGCTCACCACAGCAGCTGACTCAGCCCCAGGCTGCCTCTAACAACCACACACAAAAGCAGCTGAGACTGGCCATGCACAGCACTCCTGGGCAGGACACTCCATCCTGCAGAAGGGACCCCTTAGGCTCCTCCTCCATCTGCGAGAGCCGGGCTCCCGGGGACAGGGCAGGTGGTTGGACTCACCCAGTTCGCCGCCGCCTTCTGTGTGGCGGTGACAGCACAGAGCACCTGCTCTAACTCTCTGTGCTGCAATGAACATTGCAGGCGGTCGGCCAGATCCTTTGACTCCTCTGTAATGAGAGAGTTGAGATGGGGCCCCGGGCTCCTAAAGACCTGTCAAGTGCCAGGCTGTGAAGGACAAAGGTTGCCTTAGATTCCCACCTTCAAAGTATCTGGGAGAATGTTGCGTGTGATACAGGTCCATACTTAGTTTCCCTTTCTGCATGTTCAGTCTCTGGATTTGAACCTTTGGGAGAAAAGCCAAGCAAAGTGCTGAAAGAGGAAAGGAAAGAAACATTCCCGGAGGGGACAGGGAGAAAACTTCACACCCTCCACTCACCTCTAGCTCCCTTTCAGTTTTCTGTTTCTCATTGTTTGCCTTCTTTTCCTATAGGAAGAGGAAGACAGAGCTTTTACCAGGGGAGGCAGAATGCTTCAGCAAGAGACATACCCCCAGAAGGCACCGTGCCCCAGGACAGGCCCACCATGGGAGCAGGTTATCAGGGACCCTGGCAAGGGATGGGGTGGAATCTGAGGGGTGAGCCTTCTTCCCAGGTTGGGAGTAGGGGGAGAGGAGACTGGGGCCTCTACATCTGAGAAGCCCCAAACCCAGCAGTCATGTCGCGAGGAAACAAAGAAATCACGTTACTTCTTCCAGCTGATGTTCCACTTGTTTCTTCTGTTGTTTCTGTGGGGAGAGTCAAATTAAGGTGATGGAGGTGGCCCCTCAACTCTATTCCCCAGGCCAGGAATGGTAGGCGGGGCCAGGAATGGATTTTAAAGGCAGGTCTCAGACTCCGGTGGGAACACGAACTGGTCAACTCTCCTCAAGCGCCCAAAGACAGAGGGTCGGGTCTTTGTTGGTTTTCACCCACAGTCACAGAACTCAAAGTCTGAATCTGGAATCTCTTGAGAGGACAAGAACATAAACCTCTAGAGATGGAGTTTGAGAAAGGCCCCTCTTCCGCCCGACATCATTTAGAAAAGTGCGTTCATTCAATAAACATTCACTGAGCACGTATGGGCCAGGTGCGGTTCTTCACGAGAAGTATATATAGGACGGGAAAAGGACAGACAGCAGCCCTTGTCCCTGAGGAGTTTCTGTTCTGGGAGCCTTTAAATCTCGGACTCTCACAGCTAACAGACACCTTTGATACTCACTACCTCCTCTGGAAACACAGTCAGAAAAGGAGAGGCAGCTTGTCCCGAATCAAAGAGCAAATTAGGGACTGAGTCACAGCAGAAATACGGGGCCCCTGATGACAACCAGTCAGGCTAGCACTCCCGAGAGAGGCAACAACCCCAGGGCGTGTGCTTGGCAAGGACTGGAGCAGGGGTGTGTGGAGAGGAGACAGTCGGCAAAGGGCTGCAAAGAAGAGCCATGCTCGTGCTCTGGGAGTCCCTCCCAAGTGGGGTCACAGGCTTTGGAGTCATATTGGTGCCCAGCACCAGGACCCCAGCCCCTTTCTTCAGGGCCCCAAGGGAAAACTGGAGCCCCAGGGTTGGCAGCGTGGAATCAGGGGACCCCACTAGACTCTTACCAAGGATTTGATGGTGTTCTTCAGTTGACTGATTTTGACGGACCTCGAGTCCAGGGCTGCTGGTAGTTCCTGGCACAGGCTCTGAGGCGCATGCAGAGAGGAGGAGGTGGAGGAGGAGTCGTGGAGAGAGGTAGAGAACAATCGTGGGGCTGGGGGTGTGGCCAGGCTATCTCTCAGCTGGCAGAGGGAGCACCCACTCCCTGCTGTGGGAGGTTGGAGGATTGGCCTGCTGCGGGGTCACTGCACCTCTGCCCAGAGCCTCTTACCTCCAGTTCCTTCAGGGGAGCAAATGATGTAGGGCTGTCCCCGAGGATACCCGTTGCTGACTACAAGAGATGAGAGTGCACGTGGAGATGTTCTGTCCCCCTCAGTGTCAGAGCCTTCTGACTTCCTTTCTTCCCCCATCAACTGGCAACATTTTCATTTTCTGCCAATCTTGAACCCTTTGTTCACCGCTCCTTTGTGCCAACTTTTCTCATGCTTTTTATCTCCCCACCATCCCACCTGAGGCCCTTTCAGTGAATCCTGATGACAAGTGGCTGTTCTCATTATCCTGGCTTCCCCTTGAGACTGGGGATGAGGAAAGTCGAACAGCAATGACCATATCCTGGGTGTCCTGGGTGTTTACCGCAGGCCATGTACTAGGGATTAACATAAAACAACATTAACAAATCTCATTTAAAGCCTCACAAGAGTGGAAGTCAAACAATACCACTTCTATTATACAGATGTGCAAAGAGAGAGAGCCCAAGAGCTCAAGCAACTTGCCTAAATGTATCCTAGCAGATGGAGAGAGCGGGATTCAAACCCAGAATTCTGAACCAGTACAGCGATCCATCCACAATCTTAACAATTACCCTCTACGCCTAGGCCCCTGTCCCCAGGAGCCTGGTCAGCCAAGACTCCACATCCCCAGGTGAGTGGCAACCACCAAGTGGCTGTCTCAGGGACACTGTCATTTGTTTTCCGGTCTTCTTCGCTCCTGTTGAATAACCAGGGCTGTTCTCTGCCAATATTCTTTTAACTGTGGAAAAAGCAGTGATACTCATGAGAACCATCATCCCCTACAGCCACATCCTCCTTTACAGTTTTTACAAAATGCTCTTATACACCATCTGATTTAATGACATAACAACCGTACAAGGTGTTGTCACCATCATTTAGTGACTGAGAGGAGCTTGATATGGATGAAAAAAAAAAAAAAGAAGAAGAAGAAGAAAAGGAAAAGGCAAAACTGGAACTTTGAAACTCAGTCTTCTGACTCTCCAAGCTCTGGGGTTTTGCCAAGAATGAGCAGCTGCCAGGGACCAAAACCAGGGGCAGAGGTAGAAAGTAAACATTAGGTAGGCAGGAACTGGATGCCGTGTGGTTTAGAGTCATACATCCTCACACGTCTGTTAATGTGAAGAAGTGCACCCGTACCTCTCAAACTTTTATATCAATGTGCCACTCAGCAGAAGGCAGCCTTTCTGTTAAATTTGGGAATTCATCAGAAGAGAACAGCAAACCTCATATGCCTCAACAGCGGCAGATCAGGGTTAAAGTCTGCAAGTCAAGGGGAAAAGTAAATTGGATCATTTCCAGAATCTCACAAAAAACAACAACCTGTTCCTAGAGTGCCCAACACGAGCAAATTAGAACCTTAAATAGAAGAAACTCTTAATGCCTATCCTGGCATAGATTCAGCACCAAGTACAATCTCATTTTACTGGTTTACCTTTTTCATCCTCAGAAGTACGGGCTATGAAAAAAAAAAACACTAAAATTTCTTTAAGAGAACCTTCTACTCACAATCTAACTTACATAAATCAAAACACTCTACTGAGGGTGAAAATTTAAGGTATTATAGAAAATAATCCACCTGTTTTGCTTGAGAAGTTTCATGCACATAATGCTCCCCACCCAATACGCACCTTATAAAGAAAAAGGAAACATACAAAATTATCTCGAGAATTGTTCATAACCCAAAAATGTCTACGTCATTACTAAAAAGTATGCACAGTAAAGATGAAAAGAGAACATGCAAGCATGAACATGGTGTTAGGGATATAGGACTATGGGTAACTTAAAAATTCTATTGGTATTACTCTCATGTAATTGCTCTGAAATTGTAGTCCATCGTTTGAAATGGCTCTTAGAACAAAATAGTTGGAAATTTTTGTGATGTCAAAAACTAAGAAATTAACCCTAAATATTCCAAAGAATAGGGGCAGAAAACCCCATTCCTTAAATGGCATTGAAATTATTGTTGTTTACAACTCAAACTTTCTCTCCTATCCTGTGATGGCAAAAGTTTTCCTCTGACAATGGCATTGACCTTACCTATCCAAATGAACATCTGCATGGTTTCATGGTTAAAATTGTTTCATTCTGTCATGAGAATCAAATGGTTCAGACCATGCAGCTCCTCTCTGGGACTCCTCAAGTCCTTTCTAGGTCTGAAGACTGTTCTCTGAATGAAAGATAGCTTCTGAGTTTATCAAATCTCCCCATAGAAAATTATTTAGATCAAGATGTTTTAACCTTACTTTCTCCAAACAAATAATTTCATTTCTCCTTTACTGTTGTTTTAAATTTGAAAACACACAGATAGCATGCCTAAAATAAAATCAAGGGAATGACAGTTTTAGAACACAAACTGTGGTAATTTTGAAAACACAAAAGCTAAGACCACTGATGAGGTCTATGTGGACACCAAGTCACCACAACCTATTCTGTCCTCGGGTCTCTGCCCACGCCTTTCCCTTGCCTGAGATTCCTTCTGCTTCCTACACTTCCAAATGCTGAATTTCCCCCCGGAAGAATTGCCAAGACCACTCCAGCCGGCACATCTTCCATTCCAGCTAACCAAAGGCATCCTTGCATTGACTAAACCAAATTATTTTGTAGAGAAGGCATTTAAAAACTTCTACTGTAGACCATTCATTCACCTTAATAATTGTTATCATGTGCGTTCAATAACAAAATGAGGGAAAGAAGTCCTCTTCACTCCCTTCTCCTGGAGAATCCAAGCCAGTGTCTTTCCCACTTGCTTTCCCAAACCCTGAGACATTCCAAAGTAACAGTTTAATGGAAAGGAAAGAAAATCTAAAAGAAAAAACTCTCAGAAAATTAAACTTGGGCAAAGAATCATGGGATTAAAAATTTTTACTCTTTGTGTGTTTGATTTCTGAAACATAGAAATCTATCTCCCACTCCTTAAATCTGCCACTGGGCTAAGAGAATCTTGTATAGAACTGATCACTCACTGATTTAACAGAATTAGAACCTCCAGGCACTCACTGAGATTTTGCTTCCACAACCACTCAAAGTCTAGTCATTAGTTAGTGAGTTAACACCACACTTGATCTTCACATTTTGGAAATGCTGACAGTAGACAGGGACTTGTTTTGGGAAAGAAAGTATATAGTAGACATTGCTACCCATTACCCAGCCACCACCACCTTTCCTTTAATGTATCCCACTCTTCCTTTAAGGTTGCAGAGTCTCAGAAGTGGGAAAGAAGGAAGTTTTTTTGCATTTCAGGTCAAAAGAAAGTACATTTGTACAACCACATAATACCTCTGCAAAGGTTTCTTGAAATATAAACACGAGACAGAAGTACTTCTAGCACCTCCACAAAAATTAAGATAAATAAACTTTTCCTCAATATACACTTTCAGCAGCATCGACACCTAAAAGTGGTCGACTCTACTACTGTATTAAGTGACATTCATTTCGTCAATATGTGTTCCAAATTCCTACTGCTCTTTGTCTCTGAAGGTTCCTGCTGAATATTTATGGGCAGTTCAATAATACTAGGGAAAAAATTCTTAATAATCAAAGGAAGGGTCACCTAAGGATAATATGCTACATACACAGACACAGTCAGATTTTCAACTTTAAAAAAAGTTGAGTTGTCAAAGTTGTACAGCAAACACTATGCTAAGCTTAGGCTCTTCTGGCATTTGATTTATAATCTCTGTAAAGAAAAGCCAGTCAGAAAATGGCACATTTTGTATGATTCTACTTATATGAAATGTCCAGGATAGGCAAATCTACAGAGATAGAAATTAGATCAGAGGTTTCGGGATCAACGGTGGAGACTGAGGTACAGGGAGTGCAAGTTTGGGGAGCCTGAGAGGAGCTGTGCACCAAGAGGAGGGGTTTCGTTGTTGTTTTTTGGTTTTGGAGAATCCAGAGGCCCTTATTGACCGCTTCCTTTCTCAGCTGAACCCCTGTCCCCGGAGCCCCCAGCAGTGCCCCCTGAGGTGGAGCTGCAGCACCTGAGGAAGGAACTACAGAGAGAGCAGCAGGAGAGCTCCAGGTCCAGGTAGAGAACAATCAGCACGTAAGTCTCCTGAACCGGAGGCAAAAGGAGAGGCTTCGGGAGCAGGAAAAGAAGCTTTGGAAGCAGGAGGAGAAGCTTCAGAAGCAGGAAGAGAAGCTTCGGGAGCAGGAGGAGAAGCTTCGGGAGCAGGAGGAGAAGCTTCGGAAGCAGGAAGAGAAGCTTCGGAAGCAGGAGGAGAAGCTTCGGGTGCAGGAAGAGAAGCTTTGGAAGCAGGAGGAGAAGCTTCGGAAGCAGGAGGAGAGGCTTCGGGTGCAGGAAGAGAAGCTTTGGAAGCAGGAGAAGAAGCTTTGGAAGCAGGAGGAGAAGCTTTGGAAGCAGGAGGAGAAGCTTCGGAAGCAGGAGGAGAAGCTTCGGGAGCAGGAGGAGAAGCTTTGGAAGCAGGAGAAGCAGCTTCGGAAGCAGGAGAAGCAGCTTCGGGAGCAGGAGGAGAAGCTTCGGGAGCAGGAAGAGAAGCTTTGGAAGCAGGAGGAGAAGCTTCGGGTGCAGGAGAAGAAGCTTCGGAAGCAGGAGGAGAGGCTTTGGGAGCAGGAGAGCTTCGGGTGCAGGAAGAGAAGCTTCGGGTGCAGGAGGAGAAGCTTCGGGTGCAGGAGGAGAAGCTTCGGAAGCAGGAGGAGAAGCTTCGGAAGCAGGAGGAGAGGCTTCGGGAGCAGGAGGAGAAGCTTCAGCAGCTGGCCGAGCCACAGAGCGGCTTTGAGGAGCTGGTGCGTTGCCCCCCTGGGTAGTCTGTCCTCCTCCCTGGCCCTCCAGGCCTTTGTTTCCCCACCTGTAAAATGGGGCAGTGTAGCCCTCATGTGAAATGTTACTTCTAAAGGCACCTGTGAGCCAGAGCCCTGCTCTGGTGGCTATGGGACAGAGGGGATGATTTTTCTAACCTGCCTCCACCCTTCCCCGTGCCGTGGGAGGCAGACACCAAGTTCTGGGGTCTCCAGCTGCAGTGGGTGGCTGCTGATTGCTTCTCTCTGTCCAGAACAACGAGAACAAGGGCGCACTGCAGTTGGAGCAGCAAGTAGAGGAGCTACAGGAGAAGCTGGAGGAGGTGAAGGAGACGGTAACCTCTGCCCCATCCAAGAAGGGCTGGGAGGCGGGCACCAGCCTCTAGGGAGGGGTGTGCCAGGCCAGAGGCAGCTCCAGCCTGGGGGAGGTGACCTCAGCACCCTCCAGGACAGTCCCGTGACTGTTTCTTGCTTCCTGTCCCGTGACTTTTAGAGGTGGGTAGCCCTGGGCTCCTCCCAGGTCTGGACATCATCATCCCAGCTAGAGGCATGGAGCCCCCCAATCATAGGGGAAGAGACAGTGGGATAAGAGGCTCCTTACACCAGGCGTGGTGGCTCACGCCTATAATCCCAGCACTTTGGGAGGCTCAGGCAGGAGAATCACTTGAGGTCGGGAGTTTGAGATCAGCCTGGCCAACATTGTAAAACCTCATCTCTACTAAAATGACCAAAAAAAAAAAAAAAAGAAAAAAATTAGCCAGGCATGGTGGTGCATGGCTGTAATCCCACTTATTCAGGAGGCTGAGGCATGAGAATCACTTGAACCCAGGAGGTGGAGGTGGGAGGCAGACACAGGGAGTGACTGCTAATGGGTACATGGGGTTTATTTTTGGGGGAGATGAAAATGTTTGGAAATTAAGGTAGTGAAGTAATGTTTGCATAACTCGAATATACTAAAAACCACTGAACTGTACACACCTGAAGGGTGGGGCTTATCATATAAAAACTGTATGACAATAAAGCTGTTAGTTTAAAAAATGTTTGGCTATGTCAAGACATAAATAGACGTCATAGCTAGAAGATACAGGATATAAAATATATGGAACAAACCTGCTTTCAATAATCTATCTAGGATCACACAATGCTTAAGATTTACCCTGACTAAAATTGCAAGCTTTGTATTTTTATTGATATTTCTCAGTTTTTACTTCTTCCTAAGTCAGTCAATAATTCCTCCTTCTCATTTAACTATTGACTACAAAGACCTAAAGACATTTTGACTCTGCCGCCAATAGAGAGTTCACATTTCATTCCACTCGTTCCATCCCCAGGACTACCAAACCAGTGTGTGTTCTCCTCATTTTCACTGTAAGACAACAGCGTGGCCCTCAACTACTGTCCACACTCTTCAAGGCTCTGTGAGGACAATGTGTCTCATATTCTCTTCCGCTGTCACCAGATTTATTCTAAGACAGTTTCTTTACTGTTACCCCTGTTTCTCAACCAGTTACACAGAAAATGAATATCCAGTGATGATTGTCATGTGCCTGTAGTCCCAACTACTCAGGAGACTGACACATGAGATCAACTTCAGAGAATGGAGATTCAGACTGCGGTGAGCTATGATCATGCCACTGCACTCCAGCCTAGAACAACAAGGTGAGATTGTCTAAATAAATAAATAAATACATAAACAAATGTAGTCTATCCATGCTATGGAATATTATAATATTATCAGCCTAAAAAGAAAGAAGTCTGTCACATGCTACAACATAGATGAACCTTGAAAACATTATACTAATTGAAATGAGCCAGTCACACAAAACCAAATAGTGTATGATTTCTCTTACATTAGATTCGACATTAGTCAGAAACTCATAGAAACAAGAAAATCGAATGCTTGTTTCCAGAAGCCAGGGGATACAGAAGTGGGGAGTTGCTGTGTAGTGAGTATAGTTTCAGTTCTCAAGAGCAGCAAGTTCTAGCAACTCGTTATTCAACAACATGTATATACTTAACACTACTGCACTGTATACTTATAAATGGTTAATACGGCAAATTTTATGTTGTACCTTATCAGCATTTTTGGGGAGTCTCGTTCTGCCGCCGGGGCTGGAGTGCAGTGGCATGATCTCCGCTCACTGCAAGCTCCGCCACCCAGGTTCATGCCATTCTCCTGCCTCAGCCTCCGGAGTAACTGGAACTACAGGCACCCGCCGCCATACCATGTTAATTCTTTGTATTTTTAGTAGAGACGGAGTTTCACCGTGTTCATCAGGATGGTCTTGATCTCTGATCTCCTGATCCACCTGCCTCGGCCACTCAAAGTGCTGGGATTACAGGACTGAGCCACCGCACCCGGCCTATACCATAATATTTTTTTAAAGAAGGGCTTGTGTTTCCCTTTGTTGTCATTACCCATTTTCACTTCAGCATTTTGAACTTTAGGTTTCCTGCAATATTTTCCTGAGCCCTGGATTTACTGGCTCAGAATATCTCCACCAGCTTGTAACAGCAGGCAGACACTTCTCAGCATCTTATTGGGCTCTGTGTGCTTGATGCTTAAAGTGACATGGAGATATCACCACTTGCTGAGAGGCAAAGGAGAGGCAAAGGTGACTGCCTTCCTGGCATGATGAAGGCAGAGAGAAGGGATCTTGGAGGCACAAAGGTTAAAAGACATAAGCAATAAACAAGAGTTGCCAACAAAGAACTAACCCTCTCCTGGTAACATTTGCAGGTGTTTTCACACGGCCAGTACATTTCACAATGTAGTGCTGTCCAGCACCAAAGGGAATGGCCAACAGGCATGGAGCAGCCTGCAGCGTCAGCACCAGGAGGATGGCAGGCACGGAGGAACCTGCAGGGTCAGTTCCAGGAGGTGGCCAGCAGGCATGGAGCAGCCAGCCTGTCCCAGGAAGCAGGAGTCACAGGACACAGCTGGACCCAGGTAGGCATGTATATTAGTTTCTGTGGCTGTTACAGCAAATTACCAAAAATTTGGTGACTCAAAACAACAGAAATTTATTTTCTCACAGTTTTGGGTAACAGAAGTCAAAATCAGTACCACTGGGCGAAATCTAGGTATTGGCAGAGCCAGTGCTCTCAGGCGCTTAAGGCAAAATGCATCAGCGGCTTTCCCAGCTTCTGGTGGCTGCTGACATTCATTGGCTTGCAGCTCCACCACTCCTGGGTCTCTCCCTCCGTGGTCACATGGCCTCTATTCTCTTCTGTCTGAACTTAAATCTCCTTTATCTCCTAAGGGAAGCATGTGCAGGATTTAATACCCACTGGAACAAACAAGGATAATCTCTCCTCAAGATCCTTAACTTAATCATACCTGAAAGATGCTTTTCCAAATAAGTAACATTTACTGGATTCTAAGAATTGGGACTTAATGATTGGCTCCTTGTAGGTGAAGGTTGATTGTGCGTGATTTGTTTCCGTGGGATAATAAGGCTGCGTCACATGTTGCTGAAGGACATGATTTGTTCCTTTATAGCTTCATAGTATTCCATGGTGTATATATACATTTTCTTAAGATTTATCGTAATATTCACATGTAAGACTTGGAACCCACCCAAATGTCCATCAATGATAGATTGGATTAAGAAAATGTGGCACATACAAACCATGGAATACTATGCAGCCATAAAAGGATCTTCCTGTCCTTTGTGGGGACATGGATGAAGCTAGAAACCATCATTCTGAGCAAACTATTGCAAGGACAGAAAACCAAACACCGCGTGGTCTCACTCATAGGTGGGAATTGAACAATGAGAACACCTGGACACACGACGGGGAACATCACACTGGGGCCTGTTGTGGGGTGGGTGGAACGAGGGAGGGTAGCATTAGGAAATATACCTAATGTGACCAAAAGCGAGTTAATCTCGTTTAGCACAGCAACATGGCACATGTATACATACGTAACAAACCTGCATGTTGTGCACATGTACCCTAGAACTTAAAGTATAATAAAAAAATAGAGATTTATTATGGGGTCGTGGCTTACATGATTATGAAGGCAAGAAGCTGTCATCCTGGAAACTGGAAGACTCAGGAAAACTGGTGATTAATTGTGTCCAAGTCAGAAGGCCTGAGAACCAGGAGGCTGATGATGTACATTCCAGTCCCAGGGGGAGGAGAAGATGAGGTGAGATGTCCCAGCACATGCACAGAGGCAGAAAGAAAGGGGCGAATTCTCCCTTCCTCCTTTTGTTCTACTCCAAGCCTCGGTGGGTTGGATGGTGCTTGTCTCACAAGGCCATCGTTACTGAATCCACTGACTCAAAGACTAATGTCATGAGGAAACACTGCAAACACACAGAAACAATGTTTTCAATCACAAGCACAATCTTAATCCAACACTTTTATAAATTAACCTTCACAGTGTAATCCAGGCTGGGACGGCGGTGGTGGATCATCAGTACTTGGGGTTCCCGGGCCGGCGCCAGGCAACATGGTGAAGGCCTGTTTTATTTTTTTTGTTTTTGGGAACAGAAGTTTGATCTTATTGCCCAGAGCTGGAAATTGCCATAGAGATGATCTTATCACTGCAACCTCCTCCTGTGTTTCGTGATCCTCCTGCCTAAGCCTCCCAAGTGGCTGGGACTGCAGGTGTGAGCCACCGTAGCCGCTAATTTTTTACTTTTTGGAGGACACAGGGTTTCTCCATTTGGTCAGGTTGATCTCAAACTCGATCTCTGGTGATCTGCCCGCCCCGGCCTCCCGAGTGCTGGGATTACGGGCATGAGCCACCGCACCAGGTGAAACCCAGAATGGAAAAACAAAACAAAAACCACAAGGTGGAAATTGGAGCCCAGTGGGCTGCGCAGGTATTCTCAGCTACTCTGAAGGCTGATGTAGGAGGATTGCTTGAGCCCAGCCGTCTAGGTGGTAGGGAGCTATGATGGTGCTGCTGCACCAGATTAGGCGACATAGAGGGACTCTCTCGAAAATGGAAACGGGAAAAGAAAGGAAAGTAAATAAAACTACTAAATCAAAGAATGACTTGACAGTATATTATTGAAAGAAACAGAGGCAAAGGTTACTTGAACACCAATGTTCACTCAGTGGGAACTGCAGGTGTTCCCTGAACAGGAAGCTTGCTACTTTTCCAAAAGAAATCTGTTATTGACTACCAATAAAAAAATACACTGTCACGTTTGTTACAATATACAAATAGTGAAACTTTATATAGCCAAGATCATATTCCAGCACTGCTCTAAGACTTTTCCTGCTCTGAAATAGCTACTGTTGTTACCTCCATTGTAGAAAACGAGTGCAAAGCTTGTTGTGGAAGGACCCAGGAAACTCACTATGAAATTGACTTCTTATAAGTTTTGGACTTAAAGGTTCTTCCTGCTCTGCTCCTACATTCCCACATTTTAATTAACATTACCTCTTGAAATACTGGTCAACTCTATATTTGGAGGGACTCCTTGGGTGAAGTTTTTCTTGCAGTCAACATTTGGTCATAAGATCATCTGTGTTTTATGTCAGTTTAAGTACCTCTTTAGACATTATTCAGTTAGGAATGTAAATAGGAGCTAACATTGTGTGTAACAGTTGCTTACAACCATTTTTGTTTGATAATACAAATATAAATCAGTGTTATTGCAAATGCAGGCTGGGAAGGGAGGGAATATATGCAGAGAGAGAAAAGCCCCATGTCTGCTTGAAGTTCAGCACTGGAGTCTCCTTCCCCTTCCTTGTCAAG